AGTGTACTTCAATGATAAGCGGGGTGGTTTGGTGTTTTAATTGATTTCATAATTATTAAACCACTCAGGAACTATTTGAACAACAATATTTCACCGAGCAATATATCATATTGACGAAACTGAAGAAGGACATGAGAAGGACTAAACCAACTCAAATTTCTTTATACAGAACTCGTGTACACCACAAGTACTCAATGACAAGAACAGCTAATGTTCACAACCGACCTAGTTAATCTATATAATAGGAATTTTTTTAAAATATCTCTGTACATTTATATCTTTCAAGATGAAAAATGTCGTCTTATGCGCAATCTATCTTTATCTATGCTTACACAATACACATGCGTAGAAGATTCAAAATCTTTAGATGAAACAAGTGATTTAATAACTGACTAGTAAAGCTATTTGCTTTGTAACAGCATCAAATGCACTTCAATAATGCTTTGATGTCGTCTTCCTATTCTACAGTTTTCTTGTTAACTGTACTATATTTTTTATTTAGGTATATCATTCTGCCTTGGAAAGCTATACAGTGGACATGTTACTAAAAATTGAAGATTTTCTCTCTGAACAAATTCTCAAGATTCCAACATACAAACATTCAGAGAAAACCATATCTAGGAAAGCCTTTAACTAATTTATTAAATTTTTAAAATTATAAATAAAAATACCTTTATTGTGGGACCAATCAAGTTCACAGGGAAAACGTTACGACTGTTAGAATCATGCTTTGATAATTATTTTAGATGTATTTTAAAGTTTAATTTTTAAAATTTAAACATTAATAATAATCCATTTAACCAAGATGATATATCGATAGGACTAGAGGTCAATTGGACTAAAGTCAGCTGACCATAAACCGATTTGTAGTTCATTGGAACCTTATTCCACATGATCGAAATTCAATGTGTTCAATTGAACTAATTCTTCTTATTGCAATTAATCATTAAATAATTGCACTTTGACCGATTTTATGGTATTTAAATATTAGTTCAATTGAACGATTTCTAATTAGCAAGACATATTAGTTCTAGCTTACTCCCAGATATATTGCTACTCTCGGGGAACTGGCCCAGCTAACTAGTTCAAGGTCTGTAATAAAACAAAGGTCCTATAATAAGGCTGGTTACTCTTAATGCGCTCCAATCTATGGTAAATGTCGTCCGTCTCCTTCGCATTTGATAGATAAAAACCTCAAATGACGTCATTTACGCCTCAACAATCAGTGACGATATGAGGTTTTTATTTATCCATGCTTAGGAGACGACATTTTCCGTACATTGGAGTGCATCGAGAGTAACCAACCCGATTATACAACCTTAATTAAAACTCTTTATTTAAAACCCCATTTACGTAATTTTACTTTGTATAAACATTTGACAGCTGAAAGAAAAGATTTTTAAAAACTTTTTTGGAAATGGACTAAAATGAATTTTCCATTATTTAAAAATATTTTCTAAACTTTAGCAAAACGAGAAACGCTTTACAAAAAAATAATTGAACATTAAAATATCTAACCCCTGTTATTTTAAATGATAAGAATCGTGACTATCTGAAAATAAAACTTTGTCTTGAAAAAATCTTTGTCTTCAATGTTGTGTTTTTATTTTAGGATCTCTAAACGGTTATTTCTACTAATACAAAGCGTTGTATTCTTTAAGGTATAGAAAATGAATAAATGTATTAAAGAACAAAATGATTCCAAGGTTCATTTCTATCATTTAAACTTGATTTATCTATTTATTTTTATTTTTTTCTGTTCAATTTGATCATTTACAAGAAAAGTGTTTAGCAACCTAACTATACTTGAATTACATCCCTATAACGATATTAAGCACGGGCAAGATGAGGACAAGGAGAACCAAGCTGAGGCTGTATTCTCCCAGGAGGTCACCTGCAGGTACATTTTTAAACGGACTGGTTATCATTTCTGCCGAGTAGCGGATACGATTCTTTATTTCATAAAAATATTTCAAATTTTTTTATTTTTCGCTGTTAATGATTTTTTAATTTAAATTATTTCTACAGAAATATGGATACGGGCAGTAGTGACTTTTTATGATATATTAAGTACTTTCACTAACCAAAGAGCTAGCCCCCCTAGCCTATCTTAGCTGCAGTACTTGGATTAAGCCTTAATCCCGATATCCACCATTCTAAAGTTTTCAGTTCTGGTCTGGGTTAATCTGGTCTGGTCTGGGTTAATCTGATCTGGTCTGGGTTAATCTGATCTGGTCTGGGTTAATCTGATCTGGTATGGGTTAATCTGATCTGGTCTGGGTTTATCTGATCTGGTCTGGGTTTATCTGATCTGGTCTGGGTTTATCAGATCTGGTCTGGGTTTATCTGATCTGGTCTGGGTTTATCTAATCTGGTCTCGGTTAATCTGATCTGGTCTTGGTTAATCTGATCTGATCTTTGGTTTAGAACGAGGATATGGCAAAGAAGATTATTCCCGTGTACGGACAAATCCTAGACGGAACACTGGACCCATCCTTGAAGAATAATATCATGTACATCCTCTCAGATATGTGTAAAAGGTATCCATCAAATTTATCATTTACTGTCGTCTGTCAGTAAACTTGATTATAAATTAAGTGAAAAAAAATCTTCCATTTGCTGAGAGGTGGTTTTAAAGTGAATCTGCATAAATAAGAAAAGTACTTGGCTCAAGATTAGTTTTAATTGGCTTCGATAAAACTTAAAACCAAGAACAATTTAAGATAGATTTTTTGTTACATATTTCAGATGTATACAATATTTTTAGATTTTGATTTTTTTAGATTTTTTTTTTTTTAGATTCATAGATTTATTTTAGATTTATAAGTTTATTTTAAATTTTAATTTTATAAATTTATTTTAGATTTATAAATTTATTTTAGATATGCTTCTCTTGTGGATCCCCTTATTCCTCAGATCACTGCTGGACTCAAGGTCAGGAAAATGCGATTTTCACCATTTTTTATCTTTAAAAATGTCTCTGACGGAAAATTTATGCATATTTATGTATCCAGAAAAGTGTATGTATGTAGAAGCGGGGAAATTTAAATTTTTGAGCGCCATTTTATGAGAGAACACTTATTTGCCGGAATCTGTATAGGGATATCAAAAAAGAGAGAAGAGAGAAGTGTTCACATTTAATATTCGGATTAAGCGATCTGGATTTAATGATAAAGTTCTCAGCTCATGTCTATTTGGTATTTATTTTGATGCAGCAAACATTTTGTATAATGTATATCTAAAAAGAGCAAACCTGTAGAGAATGATGTTTTGTAATTAATCAGACCTCGTAGAGTTATGTAGTAGCGCTGTAAACCCTCAAATGATTTTGTGTTACAAATTCTGTAGGACTTCTCTGGAGTATAAATTGAATATCTTTTTTATCTTTTCTCTTTGCATTTTTTCCAGTAAGTAAACATTTTGTCAATGGCTTGGAATTAAAAAAAAAAAATTACTCTGGATTCCTAATTTACTGTACAGTGTTCACATTTAAGCCAAACGATAATGTTGACTGGAGCGGATATATTGAAGGAAAAAGGCTCCTTTGATAATAAAAGTATATTCGATTAATTTGCATGGAGGCTTAGTTTCTGAAATATTTAAAAATTGTTAAAATGTTCTAGGATGTTTCATTGGTTGTACGAAGAACTACTTTGATCCAATTGGTTCGGTTGTTGCAAGAGGATTATCTGAAGATTCGAGGGAAAACAAAGTTTTTCTTATCTTTTCTCCAAACACTCCTAGATTCTTCTGTTGAAATACAGGTGATCTAACTTAAAGGGACTGTAAACGTATTTGTATTGAATTGAATTGAATTGTAAGTGAATATGTTTGGTTTGGTTTCGTTTACTTTACTTAGTTAGAATAAATGTTTTTTTATCATATAAATAAATATAGGAATTGAGTTTTTGCCCCAAACTATGATTTTCTCGTCACCTTATCTTTGCAACACAATGTGGTAAACCTTAGATATTTCAAGCTATGAATTTTATTAGATCAAATAATCTATCTAATGATCTAATAATAAGTTTGAAATATCTAATGTTTCCGCCATCAAGTTGTAAAGATATAGAAATTAGAATATTTAATTTTGTTGCTAAGACTTTATTGCTTTGTCACTAAAAGAGAAACAATTTAAAATGATCAATTTTCAGATGGAAAAAGGTGTCTTAATATTTGTATGAAGGTAAGGGTACCGTAGGGATTCGGTTCAGGGCTGGCCCCTTATTAGATATAGGGTCACTTAGAAATATCAATCTAAAATTATCTTTATGTTAAAACATTTTATAAATTTTAGAATCTCTCCAAGTTCTACATGGAACAACGACTGATGAAGGTTATCCCGCACATCATGTCCTCCAACCTACTGGAGGCGATCTTCTTCTTCAATAACTACGAGGGCCATGAACGGTAAAATAGCAGGGGTCCATATAATTCTATCTAATATGATCCCAAAGGTTGATTGATTGATATTAGGGGCAGAAATTAACCATGATGTAAACAATTTGAAGTATGCTGTCAAGTTGTAGAAAAAATTCCATACTGCAGGGCAGTGTTTTTTTCTGTTTATCATAACTTATCTCTTATATTAAATACTAATATTTACATCTTTTAACACCCCATGCAGTGCACATTTCTAAAGTGTAAGTACACTTACATTAAAAACTTTTTAAACATAACTTAGAATTGTCGTAGGGGGCTGATTTTTTGCATGCAAACTCAGAATTATGTATATTACATGCATTTTTTAGTTTTGAAGGAATCTGAGCAAAAGTGCGCGCGCGCGCGCTTTTTTTTGAAAAAGTGCGACTTTTTTGACAGTAAATCAATGTTAATTTCATTAATTGCACTTGAACATTTTACCTGACACTCTTGAAACAAATATGCGCTAAAAAAAATCACCTCCAAAGGCTTAAATGTCCGCGCGCGCGCGCAATAAAAGAAAATATCTTTGAATATTTATGTGCTAAGTTTGGCCTAAGTTAGAATAACAGTTGCATGAGATACATCAAACTATAGCAAAATTCGGACAAGAAATTCATTTCCGAGGTCAAAATAGACATTAGAGTATTTTTTTTTATGATGTCGCTAATCGCATTTCTAATAGATTTAATTTATTATTTTAATGTGGTAAATATATATATATGTATATATTTCAAAGAATTAAAGCCTTTTTTTAAAAACTGTTTTTTCCAAAATTGGGAGTGGGGAGATTATAAATTGAATAGCCGCTTACTTTTAGAAACTTTTAACTCAAAATATTAATTTTTCTCTCCATTTTCAGGTATTATACTTTTCTTGCATAATGTGATAAATGACTTCTTAAATAAATAGATGTGCAGTTTAAAATTATGACCAGAGATCAGAACTTTTGTTTGGTTATTGTTAACCGTGAACGCTTGATCTCGATATTCAATGTGGCACTGGGTATATTTGAGAATCAATGTTTGAACCCTCAATCAAAAAAAATTATTACCGGATTTCAAGAAGAAATCAACTTAACCCGTAGATCTGCAGAAGTTGGAGATCAAGCTTGATCCCCAGATTAATAATACAAAAGTTCCCAATTTAGGTTTAATCGGTTTGAGCTGACAGAGAAGGAATCCAAATCATTCTTACTTTCTGGTGATTCACACAGGAAACAGAGACATACTCTGTACAGGTCAGGTTCTTTTAGGATAGTCGTCTTCATTTTATTGATATATACGACGACGGCTGTAGGATACTATGTTTCAGGATATAACAGAACATGATAAAATATAATGTTTTAGAACATGATTAAAATATAATGTTTTAGAACATGATATAACATGATATTTTAGTATTTAATGTTTTAGAACATGATATTTTAGGATATTATGTTTTGGGAAATAATATTTAAGAATATAATGTTTTGGGATATAATCTTTAAGGATATAATGTTTTGGGATATAATGTTTAGGGATATAATGTCTAGGGATATAATCTTTAAGGATATAATGTTTTGGGATATAATGTTTAGGGATATAATGTCTAGGGATATAATCTTTAAGGATATAAGGATATAATGTTTAAGGATATAATGTTTAAGAATATAATGTTTTAGGATATAATGTTTTAGGATAAAATGTTTTTGGATATAATGTTTTAAGATTTAATGTTTTGGGATATAATTTTTAAGGATATAATGTTTTGGGATAAAATGTTATGGAATAAAATGTTTAAGGATATAATGTTTGGGACATAATGTATTGGGATATAATGTTTTAGGAAATAACGTTTTAGGAAATAACGTTTTAGCAGATAACTTTTTAGCATATGATGTTTAAGGATATAACGTTTTAGGATATGATGTTTATGGATATAATGTCTTAGGATATGATGTTTAAGGACATAATGTTTAAGGATGTGATGTTTAAGGATATAACGTTTTATGATCTAATGTGTATGAACATGATATTTTATGATATAACTTTTTTGGATATAATGTTTTAGGATAAATGTTTTAGGATATAACGTTTTAGGAAAAAATTTTTTAGGATATAATGGTTTAGGATATAATGTTTTAGGATATAGATTTTTAGGATATAATGTTTTAGGATATAATGTTTTAGGATATAATGTTTTAGGATATAATGTTTTAGGATATAACGTTTTATGATATAAATTTTTAGGAAATAACTTTTTGGAATATAATGTTTCAGGATATAACGTTTTAGGAATATAATGCTTAAGGTAATGATTTAGGATTTAACTTTTTAAGGAATGTTTTAGTATTCGATGTTTAAGAATAAGATATTTTAGAATATGAATATGATATATTAGGATATAAATTTTAGGATTTGATATTTCAGGATATTACAACAGGTTGCAACGATGTAGGGTTAAGATTTAGAGCTTGTTGCGAGTAAATTTATTTACTGGTCTTACTTATTTTTTATTTTATTCTTTATCAGGAAACTGATTCCCATTACTATCAATCATAAAATAAATAGTTTATATTGCACGGTTAATCTTAAAGTTTCTGTGATATGGACTGAGGATGTGATTTCAAATGACCAATGGAAATAATTGGTTTTTTAGCTTGAAAAGAAAAATCTCTCATGCATCCAAAAGTTCAAAGAGTAGTAATTGAAATCACGTATAGAGTACCTTTAAGAAATGCTTTGCAAAAACCAAAAATGTATCGGTAAGTAATTGAAAAAAATATTTTTTTTCTAGATACATGTTGCATCATATGACAGACGAAAAAAAGTTTTTGAGTACTTATCTACTCAGTAAGGAAATACTCCAGGGGATTGTAGATGAAAAGGTAGAAAACGTCATTTATTGTATTTTTAATATATTTTTGTATTTTGTCCAACAATTTACTTTTAATTTCACGATAAAAAGTCACTGTCAATCCTTCAAAAAAAGGTTTTTATTCTTTTTAACCTCAGGATGTAGTTTTGATTTTCAAATAACAATATATCGGTAGTTTCCTAGTACGGAATTGTGAACCCCTCCTCACGGCATCTTGAAATTGTAAACACTTTAATATAACATATCTTACATAACTTTAGCGACCATCAATGAAGTTTTATTGAGCATTTCTTAACTGGAAACATTTTTGTCACTACTAGGCAAGACACAAGATTATAGCAGTGGTAAAAATTCTATTACTCACCCCCTCCCAGTGCGTGAGGGGGGTGGGTCAATATAGTGATGCCAGCCGCATCGCTCGGCACAGAAACTGTCTTACTCAAAAAAAGACGACATATCAAAATAATGTCATTTTATATTTGGAGAGGATTCGTGATTCAATGACATGGTATTACGTTTACATAAGTGTACAAAATACCAAGAGGGGAGGAGGGGTGGGGTGTCCACTGTCCACTCTCTGAATATCAGACTAATATAGACCCTTTATATTCTCTATCGTTTTCTTTAGGTGAACCTTCAGAAAGGAATAGGAGTTCTACAGGTAGAAATAAGTTAAATCATAAAAATATTGATCAATTTAATAGTACACCGTACGGTGTGCTGTTTTTAATGAAATTGTGAAAATTCATGACATCAGAAAAATCAATGATTCGACATTTCCGATCAGATGATGTAAATAGTATTTTACAACAGAATCTGATCTCATTGGGTTTAATATTTCAAACATTATTCAATAAAATACCAGTTGACTCTTGAGTCTTCAGCATAGCGTCCTGGAAACTAGAACAAATTTGAACTTTACCCTCATTTATTCCTGTCAAAGTTGCAGGTTTCATTTGCTATTCTTTAATAAAAATATTGGTATACTATACATGATTGTGAGACATAAGAAACCATGTCTTCCTCCACTTAAAAGTTTGGCATGCCCGATTCACAACGGTAGCCTTCAAACCTCTGTTTGAGCACCTATGATGAGAATATTGTCGGTTATCTATCTTAAAACGTGAGTAATTTGACTATTTCCTCCCATGTCTCAGCACGTAAATCCGTAACTCACACTTTGTTTCTTTGAAGTATGTGCCAGTGACGCCCCGCCACCCATTATAGTTATAGTTATAGTATTTATTTTCAAACACAAAATACAAAATAATATACTTTGACATCTACCATTAGCAAAGGGTGTGAACCCATACTCGTTGTCTGTAGTAGACTTTGACATCTACTATTAGCAAAGGGTGTGAACCCATTCTTGTTGACAGTAAAAAGGGTTGCGGTGCGGTCTTATGAGAGCTTAACCTTGACTCCTAGGGGATGATGGTTAACAATATTTTTTATTTATATATTTTTTTTAGAGAAACTAAATTGAAAACTTTCAGACAGAAAAATTTGGAAATCTATTTCAATTTTGAGTTTAAGACAACGTCTCATAGTACACCCATACCGTTTTGAATCGGGTATTTAATTCTCTTCATGGAGGTTCACTTGAAAATACATTTACAGTCCCTTTAATTGAAATTACCCTAGGACACATTCTTCTGTTTATCCTGCGAGGAGATAATGCTTTCTCATTTACGGAGGAAGGATTCAGGGGAGGAGGAGGAGATTAACATGGAAACACAAGAACAGGTTAGTTTCATATTTCATAAATGTGCACATGGGAACCCTGGGGTACCCATGGGTTCCCTCAACTAATTTCAGCCAATTTGGTATGACCGTTTGGCCAGCTATATCGAACATATAACTATATAATATTTATATATTTATGTTATAGATGGTGAAACTATCAGACTCTTATAAAAATATCTCAGTCCAAAACTAGACAATTTTTTAAAGAAAAAAAAAACAAACTTCTAAATAATTTCAGGGTTTATTACTTAAATAATAATTAGCCGTTTTTTGTGAATTTTCTTAAGTCTTTAAATGCCTTTAACCCCTCCCATTAACCATAATTGATTGTTTTAAGTACACAATCCACGTAATATCCTAATTGTATTATTCATGATCACAACCAGGCCTGTTCTACAACTCTTTTCTAGAGAATTATGAATGCCTACGTCACCGACAAAACATAATTGGGATATTTTGCGTTTTTTGAAATTAAGGCGAAAAAAATTTATTCTATAATTCAAAAACATATCACAAATTGCCTTATGCAGGTTGACGCCCAAGTACGGAATGCTCTTTATAAAGCTGTTGTGAGTGACACTGTGAAGAGAAACGTGATAGATTCTATAGTTCCAACAGTCATAGCGCTCAAACATCTTCTAGAGAAGGAAAGATCTGAGCTTCAGGAAGATCTGTATCTGTATTTAAGGAAGGTTAGTACTAAACTGATCAATAACATTGTAAGGAGCAAATAAACCCCAAACAAATACCTGATACTGCAGAGTTCATCATAACCCACTTGAAGGGACTGTAAGCTTAATTTCAGGCGACCAATTCAATGTGAAGATGGCCACGTATGATTCACAATGTTACCTTTGAAACCTTTATCTGATCAACAATATGGAAGATACTAATGTTTATCTTGGTTTCAAAGTGTTAAATTCTGACAATTCCTAGATGTTTTTCTGGAAAACCGATAAGCCACAATTGAAAATAATTAGTTTTTCAAAATTATAAACGATTATATCTAATTCATACTTAATCAGTTATAGGTTTCAAGGGTACTGTTCTGAATCGGGCATTGCGATCTATGCATAGAAGGTTACATGAAAGTGTTAGTTAGTGAGACCCATGAAACTGACAGGACCACAACTGTTAATCTCAAGTTATAATTCTAAATAGTCCTATAAACATAAACCATTCCATTTGTGTAGTGTAAACAGACCAGGGAATAGGAATAAAGGGAAAGGAAATGGCGCTGGTCTGGCATGAGAAAGTCAGTCGCACTGCTTTGCAGACCAGTACGTTAAACTAACACACACTCTTTTGGTACAGACACACAACATGATTATAGTCAAGGAAATTGCAGAACAATGTTGTCAATTATAATTAAACTTGAATAACGACTATATTTATTGTAAACTTTAATCAAGTTATATTCTTTGCATGAACGTTTGGCTTATATTGTTGACTTAAATATATAAATAATATGCTACATGTATATTAAACTTATTTTAAGTAAACAATTAACAATAAACAAATCTATTCGCCTAGACTACAAATATCGAGATTCCTATGTACTGTATATACCTACAGTACACACCTTCGGTACTGTAAACTTACACACACTCTTTTGGTACAGACACACACACATGACGTTTCCGCCCCCTGAAACAGACCCATTGCATTTTCTAAGTTGATTTTAAGCTTCTTGTAAAATATTTAGTTCAGAACGAAACATTACTATATACATAAAATTGGCTTAAATGTCCTCATTCTATTCCAAAGTTGTATGGGTCTCCATGTAGTAAATGCCATACTTTTAAAACTTCGTCCAGAACTGTATCAATCCAGGTACAACCCGTCAAATATAAATGTCAACCAGGACACAAACTCTTAAACGATCAATGCCAAACCAATGGGCACAATCTCATTGGCTCTAAATGTTACACAAGGAAACAAGCGAAGCTATCAGACAAATTAATATACATATTTACAAGAGAGGCACATATATATATATCAGGTAGTTAAGCTAATCACAATATGTAGCTAGTCTAGTCGCATTACAAGTTTTGCATAGTTTATGTTTAGCGCAGTTAGATTAACAAACAATATACAACTTAATTCATCTAGGTATGTTCAACTGAATTTATTACAATCATTTTTGGTTAAATGTCAACTATTTTATATTTAGTTAATGGAAGATTATAAGAACGAAGTGAATGATATACTAAGTGCAGACCCTCAACTAGCAAAGGAGATTGAATACGATCTCAAGAAACTTAAAGAGAGGGAAGAACTCAGGTATATTCTTGTTAAACTTCTTTAATCATAAGAAGTCAGGTAACACAGGAATTTATTGTTCGGGTAAAGAATTGATATATTTGAAACTGAAACGAAATAAATAATAGAAAACGTTTTCGTGACCAAAGAGATTTTTAAAAACCTTTTAAATCTTGGGTCATGACCCTTTTTGAGTATATTTGTTTTTTTAGCTTAAAATATTTTTGTATAGAAAGTTCTTAATGCAATTTTGATTTTAGGTTTTCAGAAAATGGTTTCAACTAGGGTGTTACAAAAAAACAAACCTTTCATTTTTTCCGTTTTAATGTCCCCTGAGTATATTCATCATTTATATTTGTCTACAGCAAAATTACATTAAACAATATAAAAGTTTACAATTTAATACTAATACTCTTTTCTCTGGATATTGCATTTTATGATTGACAGGGTTTGCCAGGAAACAGGTGCAATACAAGACTTTTAGCATGAGCATAGTTTAGTTACTCAGAGGTGGTTTTCAGTAATGGAGTTTCTTGGTCCTAGTCGTTTTTTGTTTTCTAAAAATGTGGTATGATGACAGTATTGCAAGGCAGGATAGATTTTCGCACATCGCTTCGAAACTAACACTGGGTTTGCAGAACTTGTGCAGTTTCTTTAGATTTGATTTATTTTATGGTGAGATATATCCTCTTGAGTTGATTTCAAAAGGGTGAACAGACACATCCCTAGGTGATAAAATGTTCATACTTGTTCATCTTTTGAGTGTTGGCATTTTTTATATTTGTTTCCAATGGGACAGTAAGCTCAAAAATATCCATCTTTTCCTCCATTCTATCGATAATTACTAAATCTGGTTTCTGTGCGGTCACAAGGGGTAACAGTACCTCTCCCTGGAAGGTTATGGAACGAGATGTCGGCATACATCAGAAATCGGTCAATATCAATTAAATCAGTGATATATTTAATAAGATTGTTGTGCCTCCAAGTATATCTTTTTTTTGGTGTAGTGCAACCTTGCAGCCATTCAAAATATGGTTTGTAGTTTCTTGTCTTCTTCCTTGCAAGTCAGTGCCTGCCTGTAAACATAGTTTACAGAGATCTAATGCAGATTCTCCCCATTGTAGAAGGTTAGTTGGCAGGGTGCCCAAACAGGGGTTGAGTAGAAATTTCAATGTACCTTTCTTCAGATTGAACATGTCAGATTTTCAGATCATGTCAGATTTTTCAAACATTTCCAGGTAGAGAGAATGTCCTTGTTTTATGAGTGTTTCTTTATGTTCACTCCAGAAAGTTTCATTTTCAAAAGATACTTATCATTGACAGTTGTTTTCATTTTTTATAGCTCATTGATGTCCCCTGAGCCTATTTATGTAAAGCACAAAAATCAGTTAAGCTTAATGTAAAAGCTGAAAAATAGCTAATAATGTCAAGGAAAAAACGAGTTTACAATGTTCTTTTTTAAAATAGCTTGAAACTTAAAAAGTTGTTAAAATCTTACTGGAGTAAGGACTTTAAGGATCCTATTAATATTAATCATTTTTACTAAAATATGTCATTCATCCTCTTACTGAACTGCAATACTTTTATGTTTATCAAAATGGGTTACTTTATCCTACCAATAACCAATAATATGAAAAAATATTTTATGAAAACAATTATTTCGAGTTCAAAGTTCATGGAGGGGTCTTGTTCTCAAAAGTATTTTTTGCTTACAAATAAACAAAATGTTCTGAAATAATCTATTTTTTGGGGTTTACACTCGATGTTACTGTCAAATTGTCAAGATTAACATAAAAAGAGATCCGCTACACGTTTATATTGTGCTCAGGGGACTCGTACTTGTTTGTTTTTTTACTGCTCATATTTTTTACGTCTATAACAGAAAAACCGTCTACATACTCAATTTAATTAAGAATAGTTAAGCTGCATTTTTTGAACAAAAATTTAAATACTACTATAACCCTTTAAATCAATAAATTTCAATTTGTGATGATTTTTTATTTCACTTTGAACCAAATGCAAAGTTTGTGTGCAAAACATGTTATAGACCATGTCGCGATTTTGACACATTTCACAGATTTGGATCAATGAAACTCTTCAAACATTCAATTTGGTAGCATTGTTGCATTCGGTAGAATTTAATAATGAAACAAAAAAAATGTAAATAATATTTCTGTTCTGATAATTCAAGATATAACGACTTGTAAAATTGAAAATTTTTAATATTCATATAATTATTAATATGATTTTGTTCTTATAATTAAACTGACCAGAAAAATGCGGGAAATTTTTATTTAAAATGGAGAAAGCATGAAATCATCTGAACTCGCCATATTTAAAGTACAATGTGGAAAAAAAAATTTACAATATTTTAGAAGAAAAACATATTTAGAATAATTCATGCTATTCTGCAAATTAATAAGAGTGCGTTTTGTTCGAAATTTTTGAATGTTTTCAAATTATGCACTGTTTTAAAAGTTGCTTTTGTTCCAAAACACGTTAAAAATTGAAATTTCTGATATGTACAAAAATGGATAATTTGAATTGTTTCGAAAATGGTTTGGGTTCATATTTCATATTTTTATTCACCTACGAAGCATGAGATATTACAAATAAGCAATCACAATTTACTATTTAGTTTGGACCCGCCTAACCATGGTAGGTTGTTTTGAGTGGTTGGCCCTAAGTTAGTTAACAATAATGAATATAATTGGTTACACACATCAAATTATGTTTATGTTTATGATAAGGAGTTGATTATAATGAAGGAGATTGTCAGGTGATCTGTGAGAGGGTGAGATCAGAGATAAATTAAAATACAGAGTGTAAAGGAAGGTGGATACACAAACACAAATAAGCTAATAAAGTTTAAGTGATTTTTTTTTGTAAAAAATCTACTCACATGAAATGAAATGGTGGTTCAGTAAAAAACAGGAACCACCAGACTCAAACAGAACATTGCAAGTGACGTACTGGAACTGCAATGGGATGATCTGCACAATTAAACAGCAGCAAATACAGAATGCTATGGAACAGGAGTTAATAGATATAACGTTTGTCAACGAGACACATTTCAGATAGGGTACTAATAGCGACATCTCATCATTCCGACAATAGACACAGTACTACAAAGAGCAAAAATTTGGTGAGAAAACGGCAGTGGAAAGATGATATGAATATCAAGCAGGATCAACCATTTACAGTGTGTTCCTGATGGAGTGGATAGAGAATGAACGGAGTTGGGTAAGAGTACATAACAGAGAAATGTGGCTCTCAATCTGCTCAGTATATATGGCCTCCAAGGTCATAGGCAATACAGCTTACCAAGACTGGAACATGATAATGTATGGCCATTTATCAAATGAAGTATAGTGCCTGGAAAGTGAGGGGTGAGGCATACTTATAGGTGACTTCAATGCTCATATTGGTACTCCACCAGAGAGCATAGCAATGAACAGGCCATGGGTTAATTTCAACAACTGCTAGCAATTTGCAGAAAACAATGACCTCCAAATAGTAAACAAGGAGGAAAATCTGTTCGACGGATTATTCACCAGAGTATTGCCAAACTTAAGCACGTTTCTGGACTATGTACTAGCCTCGGAACGGGCATACCCAACTATAAAACAGATGGGTATAGAGTGACATGAAGATGAAGCTAACTGTGACCAAAACCTTCATCCTTACTAACATATAATACATGGATTGAACAGTGGAATTGAGGAGGTCTTCCTTGCCAAGTATCTTGGGAGTAGACATCCAAGTGAGAGGTCCCAACATGGTTGGACACTATGAGACAACGATGCTGAGAAGAGACAACAGCTACGCCATGGCCATCTTGAACCTGACCAGGGCAGGACTAGACAGGTCACTGATTGCTCGGAAACTTTGGGTCCACTGCGGGATACCTGCAGTTCTTTTCTGTTCAGAGGCCATGGTATTGGTCATCTCCAAGAAAGGGGATGCTCATCTAGAAGGAAATTGGGATATTCACAAGTTACCCCTCCAAAAAGCAGCTGAACACAGCACTCACTAACATGGCAATTGAATTTGTCCTTAAGATAAAGATGGAACACATCATTTTGGCAGTGGTCCTACAGCCAGAAGGTTGGTTTGTGCTACAACACCAAGTAACAGACTCAAAGGTGAGTAAACGGTCCGGGGTGGTGCTACTCGACAACAGATTCAAGAACTGGTAATGATGCAAATATGATTGCTGCCCTGCTGTAGCCAGGCAGAGACGAAGCCTAGGCCTGTCAGCCTTCAAGGCAAAGGCCATATCCCAGGGCCTAGGGACCCCCCCAGACTGTCCTCAGGTCATACTATGGCACCAACGGATCAACCAAAATGGCTATGCTGTTCAGGGGCAATCCTGTATAAATCAACAACCAAATGTAGAGAGCCAGAAATGGTCCTGTTCCAGGCAGACTGCCTGAATAAACTTAAAGAGTCCCAGAAATGGGCTGTTCCAGGCAGACCGCCTGTATAATACTGAATAGTCCCAGAAATGGGCTTTTTGGAGCAGACCGCCCAATAGTAAGTTTTCTCTCCTTGCCAATGTTGGGCATTGTCCATTGATTAGCTCTGTGGAAAGGAGCACTGAACGACAGGTTGTCTTTTAATAATAATAATAATAATAATAATAACAAAAACTAGGTTTTTCGCATTTAAACTCTCATAGTTCTTAAGATAAATATTGATTACTCTTTGTTTCAATAATTTGGCAGATTTAGTTTCTTTAAGGTCATTTTAATTGCATTCCACAATTTAGAAAATATTGCAGACGGAAAGCTTTCTAGATTTTTGTTTAAAACTCGTTCTAATTTATATGATTAGTTCTATTTGGTTCAGCTAGAGACTTAAGCATACTTTGGAAGGAAGAGGGAAGGTTATCATTAAAGTATCCATGCATAAATAAATGTCAGAACACTAAGTTTGTATGTTTATCAAGATTAAGAACTTTCAGTTTTGAAAATAATTGATTTGAATGTGCCTTGAAAGTACTATTATTAACCGCTCTGATTGACTTTTTTTTGCAAAGATCTGATTTTTTGCAGTAGAGTTTTTAACCCCTCCCAAAGTAACAATTCCATATTCCATATGAGGCCATACAAGAGAGTTATAAACAAGTAGACAAATGTTTAATGGTAAGATATTCTTAATTTGAGACAAATCAAAGATTGAGCTAGCAATGTTATTCGATATATGTTCAATTTGAAAATCCCAGTTAAAAATTCGTCAAGTTTTAAGACACTCTCAGTGTCAGGTTTGGAACTTAAGCTCAGTTTGGAACTTTTTCCCCTGAATTAGCAAACTATATTTATTTTTTTTCTCCTTAATATTGCACTGAACAAAGTTAAAGGACACATTTAAAGAAGACAAACTTACTGAGGACCACTCACATATAACACCATGAACCTCTTACTTAAGAAATGTTTAGGGTTTTCTAATTAAAAACCCTCAGATAATTTTTTTTTTCCCTAGGAGTACTAGAGAAGCAGAGATTAGGACAGAGAGTGAATCTTCATCTTCTATTATCAGTCCTCAAAATGGTTCCATCATTGCAACTATTCCTTCAGTTCCAGTTCCAGGTTCAACAAGAACTCCAGGTTCAGCTAGGACTCCAGGTTCAGTTAGGACTCCAGGTTCAGCTAGAACTCCCGGTTCAGCTAGAACTCCCGGTTCAGCTAGAACTCCAGGTTCAGCTAGGACTCCAGGTTCAGCTAGGACTCCAGGTTCAGCTAGAACTCCCGGTTCAGCTAGAACACCAGGTTCAGCTAGGACTCCAGGTTCAGCTAGGATTATAGAACCAGGGTTTGCAGCATCACCCAGAGGAATACTTAAACAGAGATCTAAAACCAGGGTAATTAATAGTTTTTTTTTTAAAAGGGGCGAAACTTTTGGTAAGGATATCATTAAACCACAGAGACTAAACTCTATGTCTTCAGTGTAAAACTTTTTATATGAAAAATTTACTCCGGAAATTCGTGAGTTTTTTAACAACGAAGATGCTTGAAATTGCATCTATAAAATATCAAGGTTGATCCTTAAGGGGAAATAGAACCGTCAAGGGTGAATGAAACTGTCGAGGGGGAACAGAACCGTCAAGGGGGAATGAAACTGTCAAGGGGGAATGGAATTGTCAAGGGGGAATAGAACCGTCAAGGGGGAATGAAACTGTCAAGTGGAATAGAACCGTTAAGGGGATTGGAACTTTCAAGAGGAAATGGAATTGTCAAGGGGGAACGGAACTGTCAAGGGGGAATATAACCGTTAAGGGGGAATATAACCGTTAAGGGGGAATAGATCCGTCAAGGAGGAATAGAACCGTCAAGGGAGAAAAACACCGTCAAGTTTAAGCAACAATAGTTTCACCCTGTAGCGTAATTTTATTCTTAATTATAATAATTATGATTTCTCAGCAATTTTCTACAATTTTTTTAAATAACAAACTGACTCTTGCATGAAAACAGTTTTATTTGATCTATAATTCGTATCTGAAGTTTGGGGGCAATTTTTTATAAATAGAATATTTTAGATTTTGCAACAGTTGGTTGATGAACAAAATCTTCAAACTAGACGGTGTACTCCGAAAAGGTAAACTAAGCTCAAATAGTTTTAACCATTGAGGTGCTTCGCGTTCATTATTCTTTGTACGTCAAAAATTAAAAAATATCGAATTTTTCTTTTTTTAATGGTGGATTTACAAAAAAAAATTAAATTATTTAGAGGCCATTTTTTTATTTTTACCGGCTTCAACTTTCCTGGGTCCATGTGAGTTAACACCATTTGTTTTGGTCTGATCAGTTGAGCCGTTTTGACGTTTATTGGGTGAAACAAACAAACCATCATCAAGACAAGCTAAATATTATATTTAGACATGTTTTATTTTTTAATGCAGGGCTGTAAGAGAAGATGAAAACATGGAAGCAGAGCATTCAACCCCACTTGAACCTGAACCAACCAAGATTGTAGAGTCAGACCCTGCTAAAAACATGGAACCACAACAATCTCCAACTCCAGAAATGGAATTAAGTCCTAACTTTTCAAGACCTGAATCGCCCAAAGCAGCTGAACCAGAATCTTCGATCGTCCCTGTAACAGTCCAATCGGATCCTGTAGAGATTCAACCTTTGGATCAACCTGTATCTCTCACAGCAGAAACCAGGAGAACATCAGTACCCCTAGACACGAACAAACCTAAAGAAGTTCCTGATAACGTTGAAGTTAATGCTGACGACCTTAACAAGTCAAAGCGCATCTCAGGTCAGGGAATGCCGCGCAACTTTAGAACTCCCAAAACCCGTCGTCTTAATCAGCTTCGGGCAATTTCTACGCCACAGGTGAACTTGATTTTTATCCTTACTTAGGACCCGGATCCATTGGATCCTTAACATTGTAGAACCCTGGATCCGGACATGCAAAAACTTGCAGGTTTTGTAAATCTGTTTTGGTGTTAAGAAAGTAGCCCAACTTAAAGGAATGTTCTGATTTGTCAGGATCCATTGTTAATTGTTTATAAGAATGAGCTAATCCGGATCAATTGTTTTTAATCCAAATAAATCAGACCCGGATCCACTGACTTTAGTAGACATTGATTTTACTTTTTAATAGAGGTTTGTTGTTTGTACTTTGTAGTTCAGAAATTTGTTCCAGAAAGCAGCGTTTCGGATCCGGATCCGGATCCGGTCGGATCCGTATCATTTGGTCGGATCCGGATCCGTATCAGGAAACGTTGATATGGATCCGGGTAGCGCCAAAAATTAACCAAAACCATGGAATAAATAAATCAAAATGGTTCGTAAATGTATTATTTACATGACGAAAATTTTTCAGATTATCTTTAATAATTTAATGTTTACATTTATATAATAGTAATGACGACATTTTTAACTTTAGGATTACTATAGTTTATAAATTATAACCTTGCATAACATTTAATAGGGAAAATCCGATTCACAGAATCAAAAGTTAACTCGGATCCGGATCCGTATCAGAGTCAGGATCCGGATCCATCATCACGGATGCGGATCCGCGGATCCGGATCCGCATCAAAATGATACGGATCCGAAACACTGCCAGAAAGAATAGGAAAAGTTTTAAATTGGAGAGAGAATGGATGTTTGGTACTTTTTTCTTTTAATTATAAATGTTTGAGAATACAATTTGCCGGTCCTTTGCACAGCTTCCAATCCATATTTTACTAGGCCAGCATATAACTTAACTTCATATTTTTAAAACATTTTTATTTTAGGTGAATAAAACTGTAATGGGGGACAATGTAACATTTCTAAGTGAATCTATGGATCTAAGTAGCATTACTGTTCTCTCCCCACCTCAAGAGTCTAGGGAGCAGACTGCTAATGTGACTAGTTTTAGGTAAATATCAGATTAATATTACATAAACTTGTTGAAATTACTGTCAACGTAACGTTAAGCCACCTTTCATTTTTATGGTGGTATGTCGATTTGCAACAGCACTTTTTCAACAGAGATATTCTTTTCTTTGAAGTTGAAACAAAATTTAAATATTCTAAAATTTAGTAAAATATTAGATATGTTATAGTGAAACCTGTCAAGCATGATATGTTAAAAAATATAAAATTTAAATCAAAAAACCAATTTTAAAAAATTTAATTTTTTTACTATTTCAGACTTCTTGGTCAACGTAAGGATGCTTTTGATGCGCTGCTTACCGCACCTAAAAGAAAGTCCTCTGGGGGGACAGGAGCAACTAGGAAAAAGAAAAAATCTAGTTAACGATCAAGAAGAGTTTGCAAGTGCTGCCTGAGGAAGCAGAGTCTGCAGACTGAATTCTTTTCAATCTAAAGAAAATTCAAACAAATCATTTGAAGTTACATTCGTAAGTAAATTCTTGTGTTTATATGCATACTATTCTGTTATCCTGATAGACATGTTTTTTTCGTTTTTTATATACGAATTCTGCACGCTTTTGAAAAATAAACATTTCTTTTTACTATTAGTTGTACGCTTAAAGTGTAACAGTTATATGGCAGGATATTCATAGATTTGATGAAGATTCGAAAGGAAAAGGTCAAAATTTATGCGATTTTATTGGTACGGTTTTCTGACCTCTTAGCTTCTCTAGTTTTGATTTTACTCACAAGTAGGAGGTAGCTAAATTTATCTGTGGCCGAATTTAAAGAATTTGAGCGGTGGTTTAAATTTAAGCCGCGGTTTAAATATGGTTGGTTCCACTTAGAATTGTATCAAATGTTTCAAGACTTAAGCCGGCGCTTAATTTAAACCTGGTTTTGGCGGATTTAAACCGCGGCTCAAATTCTTTAAATTCCATCTCTGGTTATATATAAGTATTTTCAAAACAATTTCTCTTCTCAATATTTCTTCAATTCGAGGATTTATGACTGAAAACACAAAAATTTCAATCTGGCGTTCAATTTACCAAGTCTAGTGTTTTAATTGTCCGTAAAAGCAATTTATCTACAGGGTGTCCCACCTAACATGACAGTAGCAAGACGACTTTAAAAACTCAGAGTTTATTTGTGACAGTCAGTTGTCAACCTAGTTTCAAAAGCATAACTCATGAAACAATAACCACAAAATGCTGCTAGTCCTGGCATTTCCAAAATGTGGTCTGCCGTTTTTGTGCTGACAATATGAATAGCTGGAGATATTTGTTGAAATATCAATTTTATTAAATAAGACCAAAGTTGTCTAAATATGAATGAAATTCTTCATACCTCCTGTAATATTGAAAGCATAAAAAAGGAAGATGACATTTCGGAAATGCCAAGACTAAGGATATTTTGTGAAACTATCAACAAATTGAGATTTTTTAAAGTTTTTTAAAAAAAAGGAAACGGATCAATAAATATGAGGAAATGGACCTAAACATATGAGGAAACCAACCTAAAATTTTTGGTCTGTTTCTTCATATTTTTGACGTTTTCTGTTTTTTTTTTTAAAACTTTAAAAACTCAATTTGTTGATCGGTTTCCTCAAATTTTATGTTTGTGTTTGATTTGTTTCTGCTTTTACAAAAACTTGAAAAATATTTAGTTGTTGATCGGTTTCCTCAAATTTTAGGTTAATTTCCTAAAATTTTTGATCCGCTTCCGCTTTCTACAAAAACTTTAAAAATCTCAATTTGTTGATCAGTTTCCTCAAATTTCTTCCGTTTCCGCTTTTTTTTAAACTTTAAAATTGTCAATGTGTTGATTGGTTTCCTCAAATTTATGGTCCGTTTCCTCAAATTTAAGATCCGTTTCCGATTTTTTTCCAAAACTTTTAAAATCTAAATCTGTTACAAGACTGCTATTTATGTTTTATAAACAAGTTAAGATCAATTAAATAAGTTAATATTTCAACATTATACGATTCTTTGAACTCTTGTGGAGTCTACTATGATAAGATATATTTTGATGTTTTGCTTGGTTAAGCCATAAAAATAAGGGGAAAACACGGTAAGCAGACATTAAAATGCAAGAGACACGGAGATCAGGAGGCTCTAGAGGTCAATTCGGAGGGCTCATGGCGGCTCAACACACAATTTAAACAGCTAGTTGGAGAACGTGGTTGGTCTAGTTCAGTTTCTGCGTTTACTAAATATTTCCTTTCTTTTACACTCTGAAAAAAGTTACTATTTTCAGCTGATGAGGTGAACTAATAAATTTTTCTTCACAGACAAGGGTAAATCAACTTTTGTTGGGAAAATATATTTATCTCTTTTTTGTATAAAATTTTTACTTAATTCTAATGATCCAATAGCACTAAAAGAATAGAGTTGGTATTTAAGTTGGGATTTAACTTAACGTACTTGCAGTTCAACTGCTTCCTGGTATTTATTAATTGCTACCTCAGAAAGTAAAAATCTTGAAATTATTGTGTTTGGTTAATAAAAAAGTTTTTACAATTTATCCAAAATTGTAAGAAATTTAACGTTGATTTAAAAATTTTTTCCTTTAAGTTTTGAATAATATGTATTCGCAAATGTCAGTTTCTATAATATAAAGAGCATCCCATATCACATTAGATTAACTCCAAGCTTTAACGCCAAAATAAAGACATAATCCTCGAAAAACCTTACATTTTCCCACGAAACATGACAGTTGGTAAAAAGTTCTGTATGTCGTCTTCCATACACTGTATTAGATAGTATGCAGTTTATTTTGTTAAAAAAATCTTTTGCTCTAATACATTTCACTTTGAAATTGATTTTACGAAACAAGTCTCCTTTATCATATTTTATTATTGTTTTTGGTATCTTAAACAATTGAAAAAATTATGGAAGAAGACATTCTAAACTATTTACCAACTGTCATGTTTGGTGGGACACCCTGTAGCTAGCTTGAGAGAAACTATTAAAAACTTCCTCTTTCCATATCATCCTTTTCCCACACTTTTCAAACTAATGATTCTTTTTACAAGGTTTATAATGACTGCAGAAACCTGTAGGCTAACATGAAATTTTAGTACAGTGGTAAGCTATAATAGTGATACAATAATGACGACTTTTTATCTAAGTTTCGATTTAAGTTTTTTCGAATTACAAGTAATCAAGGGGAAGCTTTTTTTAATTGACAGCTTCGCTTGACTTCTATATTTATGTGTGTATCCATACTGTTTAACAGCTTGATAAAACCAAAATTCAAATAGAAAGTCGTCTTTATTGTATTGATATAATCACCTTCTTCTGTAATATATACACCAGATGATACTTTAAACACCGAAAACTGAGAGTTTTGGGATTTCTAAAATGTTGTCTACTATTTTTATGCCACAAAATTTGACGGAAATGTTGGGAAATTTCAAGTTTTTAGTATTCTCAAAGTACTAAATCAAAAGTAAAACCTGGAATCAAAGACGGTAAACTATTTTGTCATTAAGTATAATATTCTCCCTTATATATATTTATATTTATATTATATTTAGAAAAATATATTTATATTATTGTAAAATAAATAAAATGTAAAAATAAAAGTTAATTTTTAATTAAATTGAAATTTAATCAATTTTCCAAGCTGAAAAAAAGAGTCTCTTCTCTCTAGCTACCCACATAAATCCAGACTGCTAAGAAAAGTCGCATGAACTTACCAAACTGGGTCGACTTTAAAATGTCACAATTCCTTGTCTTTTTATTTTACCTCACTCAGGGCCTAAATCTTTGCAGAGGCGCTTCTAACAGTAACTAGGAGTACAGGGAGACAGAGAAAAATGGCAAATCCAAGTTAAACGTACACAAATAAGAAACTTAAGGTATGAAGAGAATTTGATGAGGAAAACAAGATAATCAACATGGAATGCCTGCATTCATCTGTCAACGCTGTATTACCCTGGAGAAAAGAGTTTTTTTACCTTTCTGGGTCTAGGCTTGCTATGGAAAAGCTCGACTTGCACTCCTTGCACTCCTTAGAAACAGGTCTGGTGAGCCAGTTTTTAAGTAAAACTTACAACCCATGGGAAACATGTTAATATCCATCAACCACGGATCTTCCCAATGTGGAGAAGCATCAAGTACAAGTTTAATTTACAAGTACTGCCCAAGTTGTTCTTACACATCAGTTTCAAAACTCCAACTATTGATAATCTACTCCAATCCAAAACTCCTGTTATCACATTTGTCATTATTTATAAGTGGAGATTCTGACATCATAGGTCCTACAAAATTTCAAAATTTCACGTTTGGTGTAGTGTTACTTTTTCTTTCCTCACCCTTCAACAGAGCTGGGAAACATTAATTGTGTATAGATCCATATTCAGTAAAGTCATCAACATTCAACAATTTACAAACCTGCTGAGATAGCAAATTCCAGAAAACTTGCAAGAGTTATTATTTTATTATTATTATTGTTCATGGGTTGAGTGTCAGCAGCTGAGATATTGAATTTAGAAACATATATTGAGCTAAACTTTCTTGCAAAAACCAGAAATATCAGACAGAATTAAAAAAAGCAGAGATTAGCAGAACTAAGAACCGATGAATAGATAAGAAAATGTACAGACTATCTATAATACCAATTAGTTTGAAATCATCAAAAATAAATGTTAAAGGGCTGTTTCCCACCTGAGGTTTTCGGGATACTGGAACCCCCCCCCCCCTCCAAGTCTTACAATGCTTAATTATAAACTTATGTTTTTTTTTATTTTTACACCTGAAAAAATTATCTTTGAGTACAGTAGAGATGTCAACGTTTTAATTTTTAGCTTTCGTTACTATAGTATTGACTTTTCTGCACTTGAATACCTTATGTAAATGTTAGTGAAACAACAGTTACGCTTTTCCATTTCCTGTTTTAAAAATCTTCCCCAACGTTGCGTTAAAGCTTATGTAATATAACCACAATTTTTTATCGTTCCACTTTCATGTAAGGTAAAAATTTTCAGAGACCTTACGTTACACTTTCCCTTGGTTTGAAAACTAAGAGGTGACAAACGTTTTGCGTTAATAAAACGTCATTTGAGCAAATTTCTGCACATAGCAATGCATTCCTGCTGTGCAAAGAATATTTTTTGTTAACGTTACGTTTTATCTAAACTTTTCCAATAATATAAACTCTTTTAATTACGTTTAGAAATTTTACTAAAATGCAACTTTTTTACGTAACGATTTATCGAAACGTTATTGTGATAACTTTTTTGTTACGCTATTTTACAACTGGCAATCAAAACTGTTTATTCGTTTCTAAGAAAGATATGAAAAAATGTTCTGTGCGTTACGTTGTATTAAAATGCTCAGACCTTGACGTTTCTAAATTTACACTTCATTAAAAATGATATTGGTTCTAAATAAAAGCAATACAAGATTTTTTTCCGTGATAATTGTATTCCTACTTTCGTATTTAAATTAGTGTCGTTAATCCCTTTTTTACTCACTCTGTATGTTGCTGTTGCATTGTAAACCTTTTTAGAGAATGTGTAGAAGAATGCAGCAATAAAAAGATGTTATTTAAACGGGTTTGAAAATTTGTGTCATAAACTCATTTCCTTTTAACTTGAAATGAAAAACCATTAGTGTTTGCTGTCATATCCATTAGATAGATTAGAGACGTTTTAAAATGTTTTGATTGGCAGAATTATTGTTACACTTTTGAAATTATAAAACTCAGCCCTCATAACCATACATTTTATGAACAATATTTTCATCAGACATTGTCTTGAAAACGGTCAAGGGTTTTAATATAAAAAGAACTTCTTTTGTAATTTTGATTACAGAAAATAATTCATGTTTAGTAAAATGTTGGGTTATAGTTTTTATTATCGACATTATACTCTTGATATGGGCGGGGATCCTAAACACCAAGTTACATATATAAATGGTGTAGTTTAAATTGTTAAGATATTTCAAATATAAAGTTTAACAAAAGAAAAAGAAAAAATATGCAAAGTTATGCACAAATGGCGACATTGATTAATACTCATTACATGTAAAATATTTAATATTTCAGTTATAAAGTAATCATAGAATCCTTAAAAATTATTCATTCTTGTATTAATAGTTCTTTTAAAATCGGAACTTTCCATGCATGGTACAATGGGACATCAAAATATTTCATTTGTTTCATAAACTAAAAAGAAATCTAATACAAAGCTTAGAACTTGATTCAATAATTTTATAGAAAGACACACATCTACTGGTTAACATATTTTTTACATGTAAACATTGTTAAATACTTTCAATCAAATACCTATGTGTATCTCTAGGTACATTAAAAATAATTTAAAGAGCAAATTCCATGCTGCAGTATACATTTTTGATACACATTGGGAACTCAAGTCCCAAATACTAGATCTATAAAAACTACAACAATGAAAATTGTACAGTTTTATAATAACATCTGGACTGTTATAATAAATTTGTTGGTCAAGAAAGCATTTTTGAACTGAAAATAGTTCGTTTTTTTATTGCAATCTATAGTCATTGAATTATCACTTTGCAGAACATTTCCTAAATGTTTCAAGTTGTTGACAAATGGTAAAGATATTTCATTCAATAAAATTGGGGTTATTTCATTATAATTAACTCTTTCTTTAGAAAAAATAAGGTATTTAGTTTTACATTTTTGTATTCAAATATTTATACTAAATTTAAATTAAGTAGCTTCAGCAAAGTTTTCACTAAGGATTTGAGTCTTTACAACAAACTTTCCAATTCCTATATCTTTGCAACCTAGTGACGGAACCCTTTGATATTTCAAACTTAGATTTTTAATCTAAAAGATTTTATAGTTTTAAATACCTATGAAACCGACTTTGGGTTGCGAAGATATAAAGATTTAAGAATAAGAGTTTGTGGCAAAAATTCAAGTCCTTTCACCATTTCCTGAAGACCTGTTCTGCTAGGAGAAAGCAGAAAAGAAGCCTTTTATTTTATACAAATATTAATTTTTAATTATTATCATGTACTGCATCTTTGCATTTCGGCTCAAGTAGCTTTCTAAGGCTTAATTAAATTGATTTGTAGTGTCACAGCCCCCGCCCCCCTCCACCGGAAGATGTTTAAAAATGTTTAAAAAAATTTATAATATAAAGACTGTAAGCGTAACTTCAAGTGTTCCTTAGTGGAAAGACCATGCATTATCAGATTCATAACGTTATAACACTTCATAACGTGTTGATAGCGTTGTCTGATCAAATATAAATTAATGAATTGTGCAATTCTACTGCAGGAAAAAATGAAGGGTTTGTTAGGAATAAACCCTTTTAGACTTAAAAAATCGACAATATCTTCCACTTTATTGATAAAATAAAAGTTTCGAGGGTTCAGTTTTGAATCTTTGTGTCCGGATGTTCACTTGACATAGTATGCTCAGCTTTAAGTATTGTTCAAATATTTGTATGAATACTAGTATAGTGATCGTTAACGTTTAATTACTTATCAATTCATAGCCTCGTCTGATCCAGTATGAATTAGTGATGTCATTTTTATAATTCTGATAACGAATTATTTTCAATTGTGGCTTCTCTACATAAAGTGAGTTGTGAATTTCATATAATTGTAGGAATTATCGGAAATAAAATCTATGTTAATCTTTGCATGGAGGTTCACTTGAAAAATTATGCTTACAGTCCCGTATTGTTTAAATATTTGTATAGAATGATCGTTAACATAAAATTTCTTATCAATATAATTTGATATTGTTCTTTCCGATTTTAAGATGAGTTTTAGGACTTTTTAGAAATAATTTCTCAGCAATTAAAATTGCAAAATGGTTAAGCTAGACTTGAGAAATAACAAAATATTAGCATAACACATTAATTCTTAATTTTTTGTTGAATTTATATTTAACAAATCATTTGTTTTCACCAGATAAGCCCAAAACCAAGTTTCAAGTTGATTTAATTTTGATACTAAAGGAAGCAACTATTGATATATCTTTAAGGAAGCCCATTTTCACAAGGAAGTTTTGCAACAACTCTGAACCTCCAAGTCAATTTGTTATTAAAATGAATTTAGCTTTTTTCATCCGAGGTGCTAACTTTAACGAGATCAATTTATTTGAGAGAACTAGTTTTAAAAATCGCGTAAATACTAAGGAAACATTTTTAAAGATTGCAAGAAGAAATGGTAAACTTCATTTTCCAAATTTTTACTCAAACAAGGTTGTTAACACAAATTCGAAATATGAGGAAGACGATTGTACCGACTCAAATGCCGATGACTATTTTCAAGACGTGTGAATCTATTTCCTTTGGTTCGCCCACATGTCATTTCCCCCTTTCTTCTTCCTTCCCCCCCCCCCCCTCTACACATCCCAGCCCCGGCAGTCAGAATGAAACACCGGAGATGATCACAACTCCGTCTCAGGGAGCAACCCTGGCTCCTTCATTGTGATGATGCAGATACCTAGCCATCAACAGACGATGCTTGAATCCAGCTCAATATTGTTCCAAGAGTTCCAAAATTATCAGGCGAACATTGAGACGCATTCCCTCATATTCGAAACTGATAAAACCGCGATCTCTTCCCCTCCTTATCCAAAGCCTGGGGTGAGCGGAAACCTGTTGTTCCAGTTCCCGATGATCTGCACCACCATCATGAAGCTCCACAAATATGTTCCAACTGGTGTTCGTCAATAGTTTTCTTTGTTCATTTTTTAACCAACCAATTTTAACCCATTCTTGGGAAACTTTTTCATTACTTTCGTTTTTTTAAATAAATGTTAGAAATATCCATATTTGGATCTCTTTATTTTACTATAGTGACTTTTAAAGTCAACAAAGGTTTATTTCAAGGGTACTGGAGGGTCACTCACTTAGAATTACCTCCTTTTTAACGCTTAATAATATCTTTCTTCTTAAGGAATTTTAATGAGGAATTTTTTATACCCTATATCTTTGCAACATGATAGTATAAACTTTTGATTATTTAATCTAACGGATTCATAATTTGAAATATCTAAGGTCTGCTACATTGCGCTGCAAAGATATTAAGATTAGAAAATTTAATTTTGTGGCACAGTCTTAATTCCTTTAAAGAAATAAATTTAAGTTTGTGGCACAGACTTAATTCCTTTGAAGAAATAAATTTGTTAAGAACAGAATCTTGTTCACTGCTAATTGATTCGTTTTTCATAATTTTCATAATTTACATTTCTCTTTCTTTTAGACTGAGCTTATGTGCCCCCAATAGTAGTGCACCAGGAACCTGATTTGATGAACCATACTTTTTTTCTAATAACATGGCTCATAAGAGAAGTTGCTGAACTCTGTATACGCGGTTCATCTACTTCCCAATCTAAACCAGCAAGTTGTTCCAGATATTGCATTGTCTAGCTATAGAAGGTAAAAATAATTGAAATACTAACATAAAACTAAAAGTGACATAATATCTTTTATGTAAGATACAAAAGATGAACTTTCTACTTAGTTCAATGTCCGCTTAAACTGTACTGCAGATCGCTGCAGTACGGTTCAAAAGTTTAGTTTATAGTGTGTGTTGTACTTTGTTTTTCTATTTACTACTAAGCTTAATTCTGGACTGTTTCCCACCACTTTTATCTTTTAAAGGTTGCTCTTCAGTCGCCTTTGTTCATTACACTTCATCGAAAAAAATTGTTGGAGAATTGTTTGCTAAAAATAATTGATTTTCAAATGATTCTACAATTGTTCAGGGAAAAATTTTTCAATTTTGACCAGCCCAATTGGTTCAGCCGTTTTAACGTTTAATGGAAACAAATATATATATATATATACTCGCTTAGCGCGAATCTTCTATTTCAATTGTAAACATTTTCTCTTTTTATATATTGTAAAACAAAAACAAAAAAAGTACGCGGATTTTTTTGGAACTTATTTATAAAATTTTGGGTTTGATCGATTTAGCCGTTTTGAGTTTATTGGACACAAACAAACAAGCACCCAGACAGACAGACAAGCAAAGTATATATATAGTTACAGCAGGACCCATAAAACTGTAGAATAGAAAGACGACTGTTAGAATTAAGTTTTGATTTTAAGAAGACCAATGAAGAATTTTTTTTTGGGGGGGGCAGAGACCCATTTTCCTTGATTTTTAAGATACTTTTAAAAGTATTCACATAGCATCATCAAATACGCATAAAACTATTTATGTCATCTTCCTCTTCCAGAGTTTTACGGGTCTTACTGTATACCTATATATATCTTATAAACTGTTTAAGGCTCTTCCTTTTCTAGCACTAACTTTATTTGTTAACTTTTACTTTTCAAGTTTAAATTCATGGATTGAAAAAAAAATTATAAATGTCGACCTTTTTCGTTGAAAAGTTTTCCAATTTGACCATCCAGAAGCCTGTGAGCCCATGAGCATGTGAGCTGCCACAACATTTTTTGCCTTTTTTACGGTTATTGGATACAGACAAAATTTATAATTAGATAGATTACTTTTTCATGGCGTCCAAGGCGCTTTTGCTCCTCTTTCTCTAAATAATCTTGCTTTAAAATGTTTAAAATGTTTCTACTATGTAGATATATACAGATGTAAAATTAAAATTATTTCGCCTATCTTTCTGTTTAAACATTGGTTTTCAAAAATGTTTGTCAAATTAAATTTTTTAATTTCAACCGGCCGCAAGTTTTCCTCGGGGTTATGTGAGCTGCTACTAAAAATTTGTTCCTGTTCAGTTCAGACATTTTGACGTTTTTTTGTAAAGAAATGAAATATCTTAAGGGAGGATCTCTGCCACAAACTCAAATTTTCTAATCTTTACATCTTTGGAACCTGATTGTGTAAACTTTCAAAATTTCAAACTTTATTTAATCTAACAGATTCATTGGTTTAAATTTCTTTGGGTTGCGAAGATATAAAGATAAGAAAATCTGAGTTTGTGGTACAGACTTTATTCCATTGAAGAGATTAATTTGTATAGAACAGAATCTGTTTCATTGCTGATTGACGTATAAATCTGAGCTTGTGGTACAGACTTAATTCCATTGAAAAGATTAATTTGTTTAGAATAGAATCTTTTTCATTGCTGATTGACGTATAAATCTGAGCTTGTGGTACAGACTTAATTCCATTGAAGAGATTAATTTGTTTAGAACAGAATCTTGTTCATTGCTGATTAACGTATAAATCTGAGCTTGTGGAACCGACTTAATTCCATTGAAGAGATTAATTTGTTTAGAACAGAATCTTTTTCATTGCTGATTGACGTATAAATCGTTTTACATATACTTTTAATTTTAAACATTTCTTCTTCTTTTAGACTGAGCTTATGTGCCACTTAGTAACTGCACCAGTGCTCCTAATCTAAACTAAAGGATGTTTCAGAAATATCAACATTGCCAATAAGGTAAAAATACTTGAAATACTCATCTAACATCAAAATTAACACAAGATATAAAGATAAGAAAATCCGCGTTTGTCACTCTCCGCCTCAACCCACTATTTATTCGGTTTACTTTGCTTGTCTGTCTGTCTGTTTGTATCCAATAAACGTCAAAACAGCTGAACCGATCAGGTTCAAATTTTGGTTGGGACTTCACATGACCCCAGGGAAGTTTTACAAATGAATAAAATTTCTAAAATTTGCCTCCAACAAAATTGGATTTTCATTAAATTTGCATGAAAATCCACGATTTTTTTTAATAAATCCGCAAACTTTTTTTTGGGGGTTGTTTTACAATGTACACTGCGTTTCAAGTTATTATGCAGAAATTAATTTTTTCAAAATCTTCATTTTACAAAAAAGTTTTCCTTCAGATTTTTAAGTTTTACATCAATTGTATTTTAAAGTTTTACATATTTTGAGTTTTTTTGGGTCTATTTTGAAGAAAAAAATTATTCAAATGTAAATTTTTTTAAAAATGTTTTTAATTATAAAAAGTCAAATTTTTGTAATAAACTATTTTTCTAAATTTTTCTTTCTTTCCCTTTAAACCTTAAAAACCTATTTGCATAATAACTTGAAACGCAGTATATACAATGAGAAAATGTTCACAATTGAAGTAGAAGATGGGCGTGAAGCGCCCTAAAAGTCTAGTATTTACATATATCATGAATGCGGTTCAAAGCGTCTTTCGCTTCCTTTTCTAGAACTTTATTTTTTAACTATTACTTTCAAGTTTAAATTTGTGGTTTAAAAAAAAAAAAAAAAGTCGACATTTTTCATTGCAAAGTTTGTCAAATCTGACCGTCAATAAGCTTTCCCGGTAATCATGTGTCTAGTTGTTTGTTGATGGGTATTTGATACAAAAAGACAGACAAGTCAAACTGTTATTTAGATAGATTACTTTTTCCTCGGCGTCTATTGGGCTTTGCGCTGCTCTTTCTTATAATAATTTTGTTTTAAAATAATTAGTAACGACAATCATTTTTTTTCTATGTGCAGAATGTAATATTTAGATAATTTCTGGGATCTTTCTGTTTAAACATTGAATTAAAAAAAAATTGAGTCTTTGCCACAAAATAAAATTTGTCTATCCCTATATCTTTGCAACCAGGTGGTGTAAATATTTGTCATTTCAAACTTTTAATCTCTTTTATTACAATTGTATTCATACAATTTTTAATGCACAACAATTTTTTAAAAATTCTGTAATAAATGTTTTGACCATGACATTTATTTTATTTTATGGGTTTAAAATCTAGCTGACATTCATTTTCAAAATGCCTTTACTTTTTTTAGTAAGAAAAAGAAACAAGTCTCTGAATTAGAAAAAAATAAGAATTTATTTTTCATTAAGTTTATAGTTTCTTTTTAAGGGGAGACCTAAAATGATATTTGCATGATAATTTAAACAATGAGTGTCCTTAAAGATTGGATTCACTGATTTTACATTTTAAATAATTTTACAGTTAAATACCATTTAAATACAAAAAGATACTTCTGTAAAATCTTTTCTTCTGTAAAAGCATTTAAGATTTTAAGTTAAAAACTTAGGGTTGTGAATTTTTTTATATTAAATTCTGCAAATATATTTTTAGAGAAAGGCTTTTAAGACACTAAAAGAGTTTCTTCGAACTTGCAAAGTTTTTTTTTAACTTTAATGCGCCTTTACTTTCAAGTATGATGGGAATTGAAATTGAGAAAAAATATTTATATCTTAAGAACCCTCCCACCCCAAAGAAATTAAGTTTTTGCCAAAAGCTGAAGCTTCTAATCCTGACATCTTTGCAACCTGATTGTGTAAACTTTAATATTACAAACTAAGATTATCTAATATAATGAATTCATATTTTGAAATATCTAAGGTCTACGACATTTGTTTAATCTTGTTCACTGTAAAATCTCGTAGACATTGTTTTACATACTTTTAAACATTTCTCTTTCTTTTAGACTGAGCCACCTAGTAGCTGCACCAGTGCTCCTAATCTAAACCCTAAGGATGTCCTAGAAATATCAACATTGCCAAGAAGTTCTGTATAAATAAAAGGATTCAAAAATACTCAAAAAAACTTTACTTTCAAATCAATTCTATTTTAATATGACTACCGTATAATATTTTTACTCTCTTTGGTATCTTAAACAACTTAATACATTATGGAAGAAGACATTTTAAACTATTCACCAACTGTCATGTTTCGTGGGACACCCTGTATTATGGAGTAATTAATGGACAATTTATTGTTTGCCTTCAAGAATTATCCTAATTTAATTTGTAATCTTGGATATTGTAAAGATAATTTATTGTTCTTCAGCTTTAAAGACTTTTAACAAATGAATAAATAAAAATTTGGGGAAAAAAGTGGTCCGCAGAAAAAGTGAAAAATGAAGACGAAATTTGTTTTAAAAAATACAGAGGTCAACGTAAAAAAGTGGGAAACGAAGACGACATTTGTTAAATACAGTGGTCTGCAGAAAAAGGAAAACGAAGACGACATAAAATACAGTGGTAAAGTGGAAAACGAAGACGAAATTTGTTAAAAATACAGGGGTCCGTAGACATTTATCAAATACAGTGGTACGCAAAAAAATTTGGAAAACGAAAATGAAATTTGTAAAAAAAATACAGTGGTTTACAAAAAAGGGGAAGACGAAGACGACAAAAAATACAGTGGTCTGCAGAAAAAATTCATGAAAATGAAGACGACATTTGTTAAAAATAAAGGGGTCCGCAGAAAAAAAGTGGAAAACGAAGACGACATTTGTAAAAAATACAGTGGTCCGCAAAAAAAGAAAAAGGAAGACGAAATTTGTAAAAAGTACAGTGGTCTGCCGAAAAAGGGGAAAACGAAGACAACATGATATACAGTTGTCCACAGAAAAAAGTGGAAACGAAGACGTCATTTGTTAAATACAGTGGTCCGCAGAAAAAAAGTGGATAATGTAGATGACATTTGTTAAAAAATACAGTCGTCCACAGTAAAAAGTGGCAAACAAAGACGAAATTTGTCAAATACGCAAAAAAAATTAAAAACGAAGACGACATTTGTTAAAAAATACAGGGGTTTGCAGAAAAAAGGGGAAAACGAAGACGACAAAAATATAGTAGTCCGCAGAAAAAAAAAATGAAAATGAAGACGACATTTGTTAAAATAACAGGGGTCCACGGAAAAAATGGAAAATGAAGACGACATTTAATTTTAAAAATACAGTGGTCCGCAGAAAAAAATGGTAAACGAAGACGACATTTGGAGAAAAAGTGGAAAATGAAGACGACATTTGTTAAACATACAGTGGTCCGCAGAAAAAAATGGAAAATGAAGACGACAAAAAAAATACAGTGGTCTACAGAAAAAAGTGGACACGAAGACGACATTTAATAAAAAACAGTGGTCCTCAAAAAAAATTGGAAAACGAAGACGACATTTGGTAAAAAATACAGTTGCCTGCAAAAAAATGGAAAACGAAGACGACATTTGGGAAAAACAATTGGGCTGCAGAAAAAAGTGGAAAACGAAGACGACATTTGGGGAAAAACGGTCGTCTGCAGAAAAAAAGATATCAAAGACGACATAACATACAGTGGTCCGCAGAAAAAGTGGCCTGCAGAAAAAAATGGAAATGAAGACGACATTTGTTTAACATACAGGGGTCCGCAGAAAAAATGGAAAATGAAGACGACATTTGTTTTTAAAAACACAGTGGTCCAAAGAAAAAACTGGAAAACGAAGATGACGTTGTTCAAAATACAGTAGTCCGCAGAAAAAAATGGAAAACGAAGACGACATTTGGGGAAAAATACAGTGGTCCGCAGAAATATCGTCTTAATTTTTCATTTTTTTCTGCGGATCACTGTAACTTTTTATAAATGTCGTCTTCGTTTTCCATTTTTTTCTTCTGCCGACCACTGTATTTTTAACAAATGTCGTCTTTGTTTTCCAATTTTTTCTGTGAACCACTATAAAAAAAATGTCGTCTTCGTTTCCCCCTTTTTTCGGACCACTGTATTTTTAACAAATATCGTTTTCGTTTTTCTGTGGACTGCTGTATATTTAACAAATGTCGTCTTCATTTTCCACTTTTTCTGCGGACTTCTGTATTTTATGTCGTCTTCGTTTTCCCTTTTTTCTGCAGACCACTGTAGTTTTTAAAAACAAATGTCATCTTCTTTTTCCAATTTTTTATGGACCACTGTATTTTTAATAAATGTCGTCTTCGTTTTCCAGTTTTGTCTGTGGCCCACTGTATTTTTTAAAAACAAATTTCGTCTTCATTTTCCATTTTTTTCTGCAGACCGCTGTATTTTTAACAAATGTCGTCCTTGTTTTCCACTGTTTCTGCGGACCGTGCAGTGTACTTTATGTCGTCTTTGTTTCCCCTTTTTTCTGCGGACCACTGTATTTTTTAAAAACAAATTTCGGACGACATTTGTTAAAAATTACAGTGGTCCGCAGAAAAAAATGGAAAATGAAGACTACAATTGTTAAAAAATACAGTGTATAACAATTAACAGTACATGTTTAAGTTTGTTTAAGTCTCCAGGCTCCTACTAATACAGCAAAGTGGCCGAAATAGTGTACAGTGTACAGTCTGATATGTATAATACATCTGAACTTGTAATCTGAACTTGTAGATATATATAAACCTAATTTAATGTTGTCAATTTTATCTGATATTCTTTCTAACAATTTCCGACATAATATAGTTAACATTCAATACACAAAACCCGTTCTATTCAAACATTCAATTTGCTCTGACATTGAAAAAGTAAAACGAATTACACAGTGAAAGGTTTAAATTATTTTTAGCATTAAAGTTTTAAAAGAGTTTTTTTTAAAAGGATATTTAAGTTTTAATTATACCATTCATTACTAATTATCAATTGATAAAAATTGCTGCATTCGCCAAGTTTCTTGAATTTCATTTCATTTTTTGATTTTAAACTAGGTACTGAAGACGTAATTTAAAAAGTGTCTCCATTTACAAAGCTAGCAGCATGTTCAATGTTAAATTATTGTCTTATCGAGAATGAATGAGATGTCCTTACTTCTCTAACTTAAAATTGATGATTTTTAATTTGGTTTCTCTTAAGAAGTAACTTTTGGATTTGTGACGAAAGTACAAATTTGGTCATGTCAAAGAAACGAAAACTGTTCTTTGTTTCTTTAAATAAGAAGATCAGGCAATATTCGGTTAACAACGGCGGGAAAGGACAACCCGTTAATATTCAAATTGTTAATGAACTAAATTAGACGTTTACGAAAAAACTAACAGAAGATTTTAAAAATGCGAATGTACATGCGTTTCAAAATAACGGCAAATTTCGTTAATTTTTAATGTTCACACAAAAGACATTAACCAATATATTTTCCAGTTGTGCAATTTGATGTTTTTGAACGTCGAATTCAGTAATTTTTTAACTGTTAATATTTAACACATATTAAGAATACCTACAGTTACCACCATTTAAAAATAAAAAATGTCAACGAACAGTACCTTGATTAACGAAGTTATTAACGAACGGCTACTTGAGGAGCCTGTTCTTTTCGTTAATTCATTTAACCGTCAACGAACGGACTGAAAAAATTTCGACAGTGCCCAGCCCTAGTTTTAGGAAAAAATCAAAATTTAAAATAGCGAACCGTCTCATCCTTTGTGGTTAACCCTGTATAAATCAGATCTTCTAGCTGCTTTGCTATACATTTTCTAATTCTGAATTTGATATTTGAGATGTCATGTCATGTCATTCAATCATTTATACAAGTTTCCAATTTCTGAAAGTTTAATGTGAATCGAATAAGCTTATAAATCAAGTCGGAAAACATAAAGGGTGCGCCATAATTATATATAAATACCTAAAAAATTGACGGAGATATTCAGAAATTTTTTTCAGATTTAAAGGAAATATTTACCAAATATTTGCAAACCTGATCTTTCATATTTCCCACCATGAATTCTTTTTAGATCAACAAGACTTAGTTTGAAATATCTAAGGTTTACACCATCAGGTTGCAAAGGTAAAGGGATTAGAAAACTTGATTTGGAGGAATTATGAGTTTTCCGTAATACTGGTTTGCGGATTTTTGCTACCAAGAAAAAAAATAGAGTTCCGGAAGTGAAGTTGTAAACACGAGGATAACCTCCTAATGTCCTAATGCAGTTGATCAGACGAAGGTGTAACGTAAATAGTTGTAAAGTGGAAGTACAACTCTTAAAATAGAAGGTAACTTGAATTTACGTCTCTATTTCATTTTAGAATAATGATAAATGCATCGTCTTTAGTCTTTAGTATTTAATTTCAATTTTAGTTCCTTGTATTCCCTTCATTAAACATTGTTTTTAGCACTGCGACAAAATATACTCAATGTAAAACAATCAACTAATACTATTAGTTCGATGATGTTTTCTTTGTAGACAATAAGATTAGATAAAACATTTTTGGAAATCTATTGCAACTTCAAATTGTTTTTGTTCGACAGATATATCAGCAACAAAAATATATGAAATTAATTCTATAGAAAATGGGCACGAAGCGCTCTCTAAGCCTAGTTGCCCCCTCCCCCCCAAAAAAAGGTTATATCAAAATTAGATATGCGAGGTTAAATGCGTTTTTCTTATAGAAAGTCTGCAAAGGTTAATCAGAATGTAAACTATGGATAATACTATATTTATGTGCATTGTGTAGTCTAGCAGGAGGGTTTTCAAACGCAAAAACGTTTTTATTAATTTAAGGAAAGTTAAATAAAATTTTGTTAAAAATTGCCTTAAATACTAATAAATATATTTAAAAGTTAATTATCAAAAAACTAGCCTTAGAAAAATTGCATAGCTATGGCTTCATATGCGTTAAGTTTTAGATTAAAGATGCGAAAAATTTATATTTTTCCTCTGATATCTATGACAATAGAAACACTGGAAAACAGTGTTTTGTCTACCGATATGATTTCTTGTAGTGGCAGGCAACAAGATAAATTTTAAATTTGTACAGATAAGTTGGCCAGCAATAGATAAATTTGTACAGATAAGTTGGCCAGCAATAGATAAATTTGTACAGATAAGTTGGCCAGCAATAGATAAATTTGTACAGATAAGTTGGCCAGCAATAGATAAATTTGTACAGATAAGTTGGCCAGCAATAGATAAATTTGTACAGATAAGTTGGCCAGCAATAGATAAATTTGTACAGATAAGTTGGCCAGCAATAGATAAATTTGTACAGATAAGTTGGCCAGCAATAGATAAATTTGTACAGATAAGTTGGCCAGCAATAGATAAATTTGTGCGCCATTGCGCATTCACTCCTGTATGCCAAGTCCATTAGCGCCTGATCCAATCAGGGTTCAGTCATGTGTTTGTTGTCTATTCTAAACCAATAGA